TCTGGCATCCTTGCAGCGTCTACGTATGCCCGAGCTGTGCATCACTCTGGTCGAGTCCAAATACCACAAAGTGCGCTGGACCGCCAGCCTAGCAAGTTTACTTTGCAACATAAAGAGAGCGCAATAACAAGGGCCAAACCCAGGCTGCGACGCAGGGAGAACACAACACTTCAGGCCAGAGTATAACTTTAAAACCCCCCTCAAGAAAAACCCCCAGCGTTGTCAGCCAGTGCACGTGTGGTCTCGCATCTCCTCGGAGCGCTTTTAGGAGGGGGAGGATCGGCTAACTTGACTAGACACCGACGGACCGCACCAACACGTTTTGGAAGGTCTGATCGGGTTGATCTACCTAAGTGTCATAAAACTTTTTTTGCACGCTTGTCACTTGTCCCGCGGCCAGCCAAAGTTACAGTGTTGCTTGCGGGAAACGCACATCCTGCCTCACCAAGCCATCTTCAGAGGCGGCTGGCGGGGGCTGTTGGTGGCTGCGTCCAGCTGACAAGCCCGACCGCCCTGGGTTGCCTTCGCATGTTTTAGCGTCACCCAGGGGCCTGCCAGGGTGCTGGGGGATCTCGCACTTTTGGCGGCCTTCCAGAAAATTTCTAGCTTCGCTGCAAGGGTGACCCCCCGGCCTCAGCGGTTCCGGCTCTTGTGAATATTCTCCGTCTCGTCAGGTTCTCTTGACAATGTCCTGCGTTGGCTTGTGTGCCTGATGTGACCGCGTAACATGTCGGAAACTTTCAGCCGTGCATTATCGGCTTTTCGCGGGGAAGATGCGTGCCGGGCTTGCCTGGTAAGGCGTTTTTCAAGGCGTCTAGAACATTGTTCCTCAGAGGCTTGACTCGTGCTTTACATGTTCAGACGGATCATCCCGGCGACGTCGTGAAAAGGATTGGAGGTCATCGTCAATGCCGTGGGGCGGCACGAGACGCTAAGGCTTGTAACAGAGCCGGCGTCCGAGAAAAAGTCGAATAGGCTGATATTTGGTTGAATGCCTGGGGGTTTCGACTGGGGTAGTTCCGGGAATCACAAATTCTGCGGGGAGAAACTCTGGGGAGATGGTTGAGGAGTCTCACGGTAACAATGCCACCAACATGAGTAACATGGCTCGGGCTTTCGAGATGAGCGTGTGATGGTGTCATTGCACTTCGCTTGCCATCCCCAGAGGTAATGATGGACAAGGCTCAGGGGCCTGCAAATCCGATCATGAGTGGTCCAGATGCACGGAACTAAATCACGAGGAGGGAGAAACGTTGTTTATACTTCATATCAAAGTAAAGGATCGAGCTTTGTGACGATTGTCGATTTCTGGTAGAAGGCAGATGATGAATCCTGATGCATGGCAGCTTACCTGTCAAACCTGTCCAACAGCCCACTGGCGGTGACAGGTCACGAGAGGAGAGAGTCCGTGCCACTATACAGTGCTGACGAACATTCACGGTGATGCGCACTGACCACCCTGGAGCTTGGGCCTTACCTCGAACAGAAGGTAAATAAACCCCTCCAATGATATTAGACAATCCCAGACTTAGCCAGTCGCGTTCCTGATCAACCACCACACATCCCAACCTGACATCATCAGACCCCCCAACTTCATTCCACTCTGGCCTGTTCTCACGACCTTCGGACCTCCCATCGCATACTCCCACGATACCGAACCCAAGCCCAGAAACCATCGCCATGTCGCCGCCTCGCCGCCGCTCGGCCCGGTTGGCCAGCGCGTCAACCCCAAAGGTCTGTTTGGGCAGTTGCGAAAACCTCGTCCCCCTCCCCCCCCCAGCCCTTCACCGCCTCAGCTGACCATGAGCAACTCTACAGCCCAAGAAGGTATCTCAACTATCGTCGCTTACCGAGCGCGATGAGACGCCGGAAGAGGTGGAATCGACGAGCCTCGATGGCGTCGTCGCCTCGCCGCATCCTCAACCTGCCACACCTGCCTCGTCCGCTCTGAAGCCTCCCATGTCCGAAATGCACCCAAGCAAGGTTCACCCCACAGCCACTGGCTCTTCTGAGACCTGGCTTGGATTCAGGGACATCAAATCTGCCAATGTCGCCCGCGGCAAGTCTGCAATGAACCCGCAGGCCACGCCGTCGAGGCTCAGCGGAGTCCCCTCCTCCTCATTTACGTTCAACTTGACTAGCCCAGCCGGCGAAACCGGCCTCAGCACTGATGCTCAGCGCATGATGGCCGACCTGCGTGAAGAGGCAGCCAAGATCAAGGCTGACCTCGTTGCGAAGCGGGAGCTGGAGAAGCTAGACGAACAAGTCAATGGGCGCAAGATTGCCAGCCGCCAAAGGCAAGTCTGGGCGCTTCAGCGCTGCTCACA